TTTTTTTTAATTTTTTCTATTCAAAAATTTACACTTCCTCACCTCCCCTCCTCCCATTGCCCTCCCGCTCCCCCCCCCACTCATCCTCCTTCCTCTCCCTCCCTCCTTAAGAGAGGGCAGGGAACCCTGCCCTGTGGGAAGTCCAAGGCCCTCCCCCCTACATCCAGGCCTAGGAAGCTTTGCATCAAAATAGACTAGGGTCCCAAAAATCCACTACATGCAGCAGAAACAAGTCCCAGTGCCTTTATCTTTTTCATTTTTCTTTCTAGTTTTTGAGATAGGGTCCCACTACATAGCTGATTCTGGCCATGAACTCCCAATCCTCCTGCTCCACTTCCTGAGTACTCGAATGGCAGCTGTGTACAACCACACCTGGCTAAGATCAGCGTGTTTCTTACAGAGCTGGGAGGAAGAGCCATGTAAAGTTCCGGTGGAGGTGGATGCTTACCGTCCCTTCCACAGACGCTTACTGTAGCTCTACCATCTGTGCTTCTGAGGGGCTCAGATGAAAGAAGAACTGAGGTGAATAATTTCTGAAGAATCATCCACTTTTAAAGCTGCCCCCTTTGAATTGGCAAGGCTCAGGGCCAAGTTCTGGGGGGTCTGTGATATGTGGGAAGAAGTCCATGTCACACACCAGAAATGTCTAGAATACGAAGGGTCTCTAAGTCCAGCACTCTGGGTTCCTGGGCAGCTGGGATGTTGGTCGAGTGTCAACCAAACTTTGTAGACTTGAGTGGGGGCCTTAAAAGAGACAGAAAATACCTTTCATCCCAGTCCTTGTGTTCCCATTTTACAGAAGGCTAAGTATGGCCCTGTGCCTTGTATGAATTACAGTTCATTGGCCATACTTCCAAGAGTTTTATCTAGGAAAGAATTCCAAAGTAACATCTTGGCTGAAAAAGGAGGATGTAAGGATTAATTAACAGTGTCTACCATGAGTACTGGATGAGGTAGGAAGGCTGGTTTGCTATGGAGGATTAGACAACAGCATACAGAGTAAGATCTTTTATTGTTCTGGACAGAGACTTTGGGAGGAAAATCCTATTTTTTTCTGTCAGTTTTCTGCTATCCACAGGAGTTTTCTATACTAGCAGATTATGGCAGCACTTGATGAGACCTAGGAGTGAATAGGACAGATACTCAGGCTCTGACCTGGTAATAGACATCAGTTTGCACCTAGAGAAATGCATGGCACTGCATCCTGGTGTCCAGCATCACCATGTTTAGCTGCAGATCTCTGTCCAGCACCTGCATGTGTCAGGTAGTGCCCAGGAGGCTGTGTTCTTCAGCTTGGTGAACAAGAGAGACAAGAATTCTGATCTCGGGGCTTATATTCTTGGAAGGATGCTGGTGACCCTTGTTTCAGGCTAGGTTCTACCTATTTCAGCGATGGAAACTGAACTCAATGTCCTATTTATGCTAGTTAAGTACTCTTTTCATAAGCTATAGACTAACCGCCTTATTCACTAATAACGGTTTATGGGGGAGGGGTAGTTCCAACCACTGGGATGCTGTTCCACAACCTATGGGAGTAGCTTTTCTCCTTGCCCACACACTCTTGCCAGACTGTGACTAGCCCATCGGTGCGTTCCATAGCGCAATTGTCCATTTCTACCTCTGAATGCCTCATTAATGGGAACTGGCGTTTCCAGTTTCTTCCCTGTGATGTGTCAGTGTGACCCACATAGACAAAGCACGGGAGTCCCTTCAAATTTGGCGAGAACTGCACAGCCAAATTCAACACTTATAGCCAAGTTCCCCCTCTGTGCTCACACCTGCCCTATGGCGGCTGCTTCTAGAACTCACTCTCTTTGCTCTCAGGGTTGGTGGCTCTATCCAAGTATTTGACCAGTTCTTCAGACTTGTATCCATCCCCCTGATTGCAATAGTCTGTATTGCAAGTTTCTGAGGCTGCAGTTGGATGGAAGTTCAGCCTTATCAGACTAGACCCTTTAAGTGGTTTCCTTTGGGGAAGGAGGCGAGCAGCTGAATCTTGGACTCCTAAAACTTAGACACGGATTCAGCCTCAGCATCAGGTCAGATGTTATATCAGTGGGTACCACTCCCAATCTTTCTACACCAAGTGCAAAGTGAGAAAAGTAAGAAAGGGGGAGATGGAGTGAGAGCAGCCAGTCCACATAGCCCTCAACCACCGTCCATGCGGGGCATCCCCAGCCACCTATTGGTATCATAGGACCGTCAAAGATAACTCACCATCCTTCCTGAAAACTGCCGCTTGTCAGGTTTGGGAAGTACCCTGTTCAACCCCATGAGTGGTGGACATCTGTGTATTTATTTGAGTTATTGGACATTCTAGTTGTGACAAATACCCAGAACAAGGGAGTCATTCATAGCCCTCATGGAGCAATGCTTGGCACTAACTGCTGCCTATCATACTTACAACATCTTTGCTGATAGTACCAAATAAAGGCTGCCCCTTAACTATTCACTTTTATTGCCATTATCACTGTCACGAGGAACGTCTAACTCATTCATGCTGCCCTTCTTGCCGTAGATGGCATTCCTCAGACTGTCCTGACATCTACACTGCCAGTCTGAACCAACTTAGTAGGAGCACAGCAGTTCATGCATGGATGCTCAAGAGATTTCTCCACTCAGACAGCAAACACTGACTCTCCTGGGGCGCATATGAACACGCCATGTGTATGGCTGAGCAAAGAGGAGGGTAACCTTGAAGAGCAACGCCTCACTGGGAATCTCGCATATGGGACAAACAAGTAATTGGGCAGTGGCCACAGTGTGAGAGCTATGAGAGAAACAGCGAGAGTGTTTGGGAATTGAAGTATATGATTAGCCTAATCCGGGCTAAAAGGGTAGACCATAGGCTGCGAAGCGCACACTAAAGAGAAGACATGAGCCCTGGGTGAGCTTGGGAGCGGCACCAAGCTGTCAACAGGTCTTATGGAGGCAACAGAACCAATGTGGCTCAAAATCAGGAAGTCAGAGGGAGACTGGATTTCTAGGAACTGCAGGAAATTTGGTCCAGCCTGTGCCCATAGGGAGAAGTGAGAAGAGATAGCCCTGGGGAGCCGCCTGCCGAATTTGGACATCACCTGGAGGTGAATTTCCTTCCAGGACCCTCTGACAGGGCTGTCTTGGGTGGTTAGTGCTACAAATGTCAATAACAAGATTCTGCCTTCTAGAAAACATCCAATTATCCAATTATCCGGCAGATAGAGCCAAAGGGAGTGCTTTGGCCTTCTTATCCTAGCCATAAAATCAGGATCTTGGTTGCCTGATGCTAATAAAACCTTTGCTGGCTGCTAAAGTATTTTGATTAAAAAAAAAAAAATCAAGCGACTTTTCCAGCCTAACTAAAGCTCGGTTACTCAACCTCTAAAGCAAGTAACAAGGAAGGCTAAGAGCAAATGCCATGCCTATGACTCCAGCGGCTTCTGGTTCAATTCTGGGTGTTAGTAGTGTTTCTAGCTGCTAGGTGAGCCCTGGGTATTTAGAGCTGAGAACCTGCAGAGTGCAATGCCTGGCAGAAGGAGTTCTGGAAAAGAAATGGGCCCCCTTTCTGCACCCCTCAAGCCCTATAGATTCCCACGCCACCCCTTCTTCCAGCTGCTCAGCTGCAGCCTGTAGGCGCTGCTGAGGCCTCCTGATGGGCTCTTACCCACTGCTTACGGAGGCATGGTCACACTGTTCTAACGGCTGCACTGCAAGGGCTAGCTCACCTACCCCCTAGTTCTTACAAGCATCTTCTGGCTCTGTGAGGGTTTGAATGAGAACGGCCCCCATGGGCTCATATATGTGAATGTTTGGGTCCCTGCTGGTGGACAGGGTTGTGGCCCTGTTGGAGGAGGTGTGTCACTGGGGGTGGGCTTTGAGCTCATTCTTTCTCTTTCTCTGCCTGCTGTCTGTGAATCAGGTGTGAGCTCTTAGCTACTACTCAGGCTATGCTGTCTGCCTGTTGCCATGATTCCCACCATGATGGTCATGGACTAACCCTCTGAAACTGTAAGCTAGTCACCCCCCTCTCCCAATGCTTTCTTTTATAAGGTGCCTTGGTCACCGCATCTCTTCACAGCAATACAACAGTAGCAAAGACAGACTCTATGAGCTAACTTTACAGGGCCATAAAGCATTATGAGGTCTCCCCCTCCCCCACTCACCTGGAAACTCCAAGCTGGCCTCATTAGCACATTATTTCCGCTCACCCAGTCCCACACACTGCCTTCCTCCTGGTTCCCACCTCCGCATCTCCCTGAACACCGCCTTTGCCATGTAGTTGCTGCAGTTAGGTTGTATGCCTTGTCCCTGAAATGCATGACTTGGAATGAAAATGTAGCTGGTTTGCTATTTAAAGGCAAGTAGCTCTGGGCTCTGGGGTCCCTCCCTGTCACCCCACTCCCTATTATCCTCCTCATCCATCAGGGGCACCAAGTGACAAAGCTCTCTTGGGGCTTCCCGGGGTGCTGCCCTGGACTGTTCCTTCTGTACTGAGACAGCAAATCGTTGGCTGGGGTGGTGGATTGTTTCCCACAGCAATTAACAGCTGCCCTGGTGTTAATTTCCAATCAATAGCCTGCCATGCTCAACTCCAAGCTGTCCGCTGGAGGCCTCTACAGCGCATTTTGAAAGTAACTTGCCAGGAGGTAGGACTCTGGCCCTGGTTCTTCCAAAAGCCCTCACCATGCACTTTAGGAACACCAAATACCCCCTCACCACTGCCAGGGGCCAAGGGACTGAGGGACCAGGCAGGTGGCTCTAGACACCTTTTGCAGTCTGATGACAGATTGAGGACACAGGTGGAACTGCCTCTCCTCAAGAGTGGTGGCCCTTTGAATATTCATGAAGCTCTCATTTTCCAATTTTGGCTTGTTTTTTTAAACTTTCTGCTGTTTGAGGTGGCTGTATTTTTTCTTCCATTAAACCCCTCATTTAAATGTCTACCTCTCATTCTTTCTCTCTCTCTCGTGTGAATCAAATTGCCTTGGTTTCTCATTTTTTGACTGTGTTGCTTCCTCCAGCCCCCTGTGGACAGAATGAGACCCGAGAAGATGGCAAGACAATCCAGCTACCTCCATGCAAGACAGGAGCATGGATTGTGCCGGCCATCATGGCCTGCTATCTCCTGGTGGCAAACATCCTTCTGGTCAACCTCCTGATTGCTGTCTTCAAGTGAGTGGCCATTCTTGAGGCAGACAGGTGGATGGATGGGCAGCATGGATGGATGGAGGGAGCTGATATTTCAAAAAGTAATGATTTTGTTTTTGTCTTGTGACTGACTCTCTGATCTGTTTCAGCAATACATTTTTTGAGGTAAAGTCGATATCCAACCAAGTATGGAAATTTCAGAGGTACCAACTCATCATGACGTTCCACGAGAGGCCGGTTCTGCCCCCACCGCTCATCATCTTCAGCCACATGACCATGATATTCCAACATGTGTGTTGCCGGTGGAGGAAACACGAGAGTGACCCAGATGAAAGAGACTACGGCCTGAGTGAGCGGCAAGCTGGCACCTGCAGCTGGAAGTTCCCAGCAGTTCCCATAGGCAGTCAGGCAGGATCCATGCCCTGCTTGGTTCTCCTGCCTCCTGCCTATTTAGGGGAGTGGGAATGGGACCTACTCCATGAGATACATGACAAAAGGAATACAGCATAGCATGAGCAGAAGCCACAATTCTTAGCCACTTCTTACTAAGGAAAAAACCACTCTCCAATAGAGTTAGCCACCTTTATACACTCTTGCTTTCCAAAGATCCCATAGCAAATCAGCCACATTGCTCTGCACCAAGTGTTATATTAGATAGCATTTTTAAACAGTATGGCTGGAGTTTTTATTCCTCCATGCTCATTTCTGGGACTGTCACTATCCCAGATCTTAAATGTTTTCTCCGCTTTCAGCATCGTACCTATATGATTTTGTGGAGACAACAAACCTTGCTTTCGAAGGACAGACCAATAGCCTCTCTACCACCCACCACCCACCTCTAGCCTGGCGTTTCTGAAGGGAAGTTTGGATGGTATTTGGGCTGGAAGAGTTCCTCACTGTGTAAGAATGTGTGACATATTACAGGAGACTTAACATCTCCATCTCTGCATATTAAGTACCAGCGGCTCCTGCAGGTTCCTAAATGCCCCCTGGGCACCAACTCTCAGGAGCCATTGGAAAAGCAATGACTTATAAACAATCTGCTGTGCTTTTTCCAAATGGGTTAAGTCTACATCGACATTAAATCCCACAAGCAAGCGCCTCTAGCATGATGGTCCAGGAATCTACCTCCATCCGTGGGATACCAATACACCATGGTTTAAAACCAGAGCCCATTAGTGAACTGTTTCTCTAAGCCCCTAACAAAGCAAACTTCTTTCTAGATATTCAAGCCAGACAGTCAGAAAGACATGGCAATTCCATTTCCATTCCCTTCTGAAATACAAGTTTAGGCAAACAGAAAGCTGGGGTGCTTGAAACATGCTAGGCAAGGAACGATGTAAGAATATTGCGCTGGAGTCGAGTGGGAGAGAAGAGGAAGGAGGGGAAAATAGTCAGAATGTAAAATAAATTAATTATAATAATAAATAATATTGTGCTGGGGGTCACCTCAGGCCTCCAAGTCAATTTCAATAAAGCATGAACACTTGTGGAAGGAAATTCTGCTTAGTGAGTGAGCACAAGATGATTGGAGATACCGTACCTGACAGAGGACTGTGTGAGGGATTTTCATCATCATTGGCACCAAATACCTAACAAAAGAACCTTAAAGGAGAGGCTTTCTTTTTTTTTTTTTTATTTTCGAGACAGGGTTTCTCCGTAGCTTTTGGTTCCTGTCCTGTAACTAGCTTTTGTAGACCAGGCTGGCCTCGAACTCACAGAGATCCGCCTGCCTCTGCCTCCCGAGTGCTGGGATTAAAGGTGTGTGCCACCACTGCCTGGCCAAGGAGAGGCTTTCTATTTTCACAGTTTCGAGAGAAGGAGTTCAGTAAGGGAGGAAGGCCTGGCAGTGATGGGTCTCCATAGTGGCAGGGGTTCGAGGGACGTGCAGCTCCTCGTACCTTGGGAGATCAGAAAGCCGGAAAAACTAAACAGGCACCAAGGCGAGGCTATGAACCTTAAAGATGCATCCCAATAACCGAGACATAGTTTATATACTGCAAAAACATTACTCCCCTCTAAGGACCAACTATTCAAACACATGAGTCTGAGAGGGGTATTTCTTGTTCAAACCACAGCTGAGGCAGTCCAGAGACCTATTTCTTCTTCAGAACCCATTTCATAGGTCCAAGGATACTGAGAAGCTCCACCAAACTCTATATGTGATCTGTTTTGTGCTTCACGGCATATCCCTCATTATCTCGCTATATAAATCAGGCTAGCACCATCCTGGTAGCAATTCACTGCATTCTCCCAAGTTCTGAGTTTCAAGGCAGGTAAAAACCACCCCCAGCCATATACGTGGTTTTCTTATTTTCAGCCAGAATAGCACTGAATGTGTCACCGGGTCTCTGGACATGCAGCAGGGAGGAGCAGGTGACAGACTTCTCAGAGACGGCCTTCCCAGAAGGACGCTCTTGAGAATGTGGCAGGATGAGAAGAGCAAAGAGCAGAGAGGCAGGCCGCGCATGCGCCTACCCATCAGGGAAGAAGGAAACTCTCCCATCCGTCTGTAGCTCTCGCTAAACCATCCCAGAGCCCTACCAAGTTCTAATTGAGTCTCAGAAAGAGAAAACTTAGAGTTATAGGGTAAAATCTGACATGGTAATAGTTTTGTTTTGTTTTTTTTAAAAAAAAAGAAGTATATTTTATTTTTTGAAAAAGAGCAGCATGGGGACTGGAGTTTGATTCCGTCAGTAAAATGCTTTTTATACAAGCATGACACCCTGAATCTGGGTCCACAGCATGCATATAAATGCCAGGCACAGAGACAGCAGCAGTACCTGTAAAACACACACACACACACACACATACATACACACACATGGGGGGGGGAGGTCAAATGAGGCATTTATAGGGTGCCAAGTAAGTTCTGGGTCAACTCCTTTGGATCTCAGAAATATCCTTACCAGAGGGCATCATGGCTCCTTGAGATCAGAGAGGGAATCTACACACAATCTCTCTTCTTTTTGACCCTGATGCTCATGGTTCTGTGTGGTTTTATGACCACATTTCAGTGTCCCTACCTGGCACAGCAGTCCCTCACCTTACGAGCCTACCATATTGAAGAAATGCAGCCTGACTTCCAGTGATTTCTATAGTCCCGGCAGCTTTTACACCCATGTTTTACAGACCCTGGCAAGTTCCAGGCGATGCATCTAGGCAAGCAAGAGCAATTTGGGGCAACAAGGCCATGGAGCTGGAATTCAGCCCTCCTAACATTTGCATCAATCCCTGCAACATCTCCGGGGTCCAGGATGAGAAAGACTTCCTGATTTGGGAAATATCCACAGAAACCCTCTTGCCCTAACCCTGTTCCAGAAACCATTTTAAGGCTCGCAGTTCCTCCAGACTTCTTTTGTTGCTGTAGCATTGATGTAGACGGTTACCCTCTATTAGAAAACCAGAATAACAATAGCACAAATAAGGACAGCTCCCTTTTCTTACTTCCAGAGAGTGAAGGAATGGTCCAAAACTCAGCATGGCTCACTGAGAACAAAGACACAAACTCCGTCTAGTTTTGAGCTCAGTGTTTCCTTCTGCATGATTTTGTTTTCAAGGTCACAGAACAGTCACCGGGCCTCCAGTCATCAAATGTTTATGTTGAGGTTAGGAAAAAGAAAGGAAGCTGAAAAAAAAAAAAAGCATAGAAAGAGCAGCCATGTATCTTTAAAAAAAAAAAAATCAGGAGCAAACTCTCTTCTGACATACCATCCGTCTCTGCAATAGACTTCTTGCTCAAAACTAAGTCTTGCAGTTTCTAATAATTTCAAGGGTGACTAGAAATGTATGTATTTGGTTTTCCTGCCTCTGTAACAAGGGAAAAAGACAAGGAGAATGTGGGGTTGCATGAAGATTATTATTCAATTACGTTGGCATGTCACACTCCACAGCCCAGAAAATTCGGAGCCTTTAAGAAACACCCATGCTCCCAGTTGCTTCCTTTCTCTGGCTCTCCTTATGCTTTCAGTCCTGTCGCTTCCTTCATTAAACCAAGCTCCTGTGGTACCCAGGTTTACCCAGGTGCGTTCCAGGGACCACAGTGACTCTGCTGCTCAGGAAGGAGGCCTGTGTTTCAAGAGACCTAATTAGATTTGGATTCTGTGTGGGACTCGGAATAGAATCTGGAAGACGTTCCCCAGCCTGGATTTCTTTAAAGCTGTCATTAGGCCACAGACCAGATGCTGTTGCGGTCCCTGCTCTGTCTCACGGCTCTTTCTCTCCCCCTCCCCCAGAACTCTTCATAACTGATGATGAGCTCAAGAAAGTCCATGATTTCGAAGAGCAGTGTATAGAAGAATATTTCAGAGAGAAGGACGACCGCTTCAACTCATCCAACGACGAGAGAATACGGGTGACGTCAGAAAGGTGTGTTCCCAATGGCAATGGGCTTTTGATCCTACTGCACGTATTGGCTTTGTGGGAGCCTAGGCAGTTTGGATGCTCACCTTAGGAGACCTGGATGGAGGAGGGTGGTCCTTGGACTTCCCACAGGGCAGAGAACCCTGATTGCTCTTTGGGCTGACGAGGGAGGGGGACTTGATTGGGGGAGGGGGAGGGAAAGGGGAGGCGGAGGTGGGGAAGATACAGAAATCTTTAATAAATTAAAAAAAAAAAACAAAGAACAAAAAAAAAAAAAAGAAAGAAAGAAAGGTGTGTTCCCTGGGCCCTGCCTCGCAGAGATGGGTCCTATGGCTGTTCATGGACCAGATGAATCTGTTCTCACATCTCCAAAACACAGACATCTTATTTTTACTGCCCAAGAGAACATGAACCTTCTGAAAGAACAGATTGTTGTCCAATCAGTCCACAGACCAAACTCCTAGAAATATCCTGGGTTTTCCCAGGAGACAGTGAAAGCTTCTGCCTTCACTGAGTGCATTGGTGAGTCTAGGACAGGTCTGGCTTGGACCAAAAACTAGAAAGTTTTGTCCCAGACATAAAGCAAAGAAGGCCCAACCCCACCTGAAGCTCCTCAACAGGTTTCTGCTTCCTTCTATAGACTATTGAGTACTCTCCTCCAGAAGAGAAGAGCCCCATGCTTGGCTTATGTGGGTATTCCGTGTCATCCAGATAGGCAAGAGCATGGGTTCTGTCCACCAGTGAAAATAATGATTGGTATTTTACCAAGAACTACTTTTATTGTTTCTCTTTTATAGAGTAAATCTAAAAACAAAGACGTAAATGCATAATTTTCTACCCAGATTCACTTAGTACTTACCAAAGGGCTTTGAAAGCCAAGCGATCTATATGAAAAATATTCTGTACAAACATGAGTACCTGGGCTCATATCACAAGACAGGCATGGCCTCATGCACACCCGTAACCATGGTGACCATGGTGCTGTCAGGGGTAGAGACAGTAGGATCATTGGGGTTTGCTTAACTTCAAAAATACAAGCTCCAGGTTCATAGAGAGACCCTGCCCCCCCCCAAAAGTAGGCTACAACACACACACACACACACGACAGAATTTTTGATATCTAACAGTTCTAGGTCTTGTGTCTCTCATGTGGCTATAGGCTAATAAAACCATCATTCCAATCTGGTATATTCATAATGCAGCTTGTGGGGCTAGCTTCCAAAAGAACACTCAGAGAGTGTCCCAGAGAACTGGTGTAACCGCACTTTAGCTGTTTATACTATAAAGGCAACCAGAGCAAATGGTAATAGCATAGACGCCATAATAGATCGGTAACTGCAGTCAGTGTGAATGGGACTTCAAAGATTTAGGAGACTCGTTTCTAATTTTCACGAGATGACACTTTGTGTGCCCACATCAAAGATTCTTTATTAACTGTGTAGAAATCACATAAGATGCGATTTTTTTTGGTCCCTTGCTCTTTCCTTAAAGAATGCAGAATATATACATAGATATAATTGCATATGCCAGTGAGCGCTTGTAACCATAGGTCCCAAGCCAACATTAATAAGATTTAAAGCTCTGCACAGGTTTTATCCACATCTGCCACTACAAAACAGAGAGATTTATGATACGCTGTAAAGTAGTTTCCTGGCAAACAGAGGGAGGAACTGAAATTCCAAAGCGCTCTCATTCTGAGGCCTTGGAAAGCTGCTCATGAATGGACATACAGCCGCGTGCTTCCAGAAAATTCTGCCATGTGGGAATATTACCATAGCCGAGACACATTTCCTCAGCGTATGTCTTCGGGCCTTTGAAATGCTTTCTGAATTCAAAAACACATAGGCCTAGGAGGCAAGAAAGGGAAAGGCATCATAAGATTCCAGGAGGGCTTTGCCTTTCTGAGGAACTAGAATGAAGAGGACCGAATGCCAGCACGCATGAGTATATTGCGACCATGTCAACAACTCCTTCTGGGGAACCAAGCGGGGAACCAGAGTCTCCCACTCCATGTCAGCACACCCTGCAGGACTACTCCCTCCCCTGACCTGCCAAGGGTGGCTTCTCAGAGTGTGAGTGAGGTGAGAAGGTGCCAGGGATGCAGAATGAAGGAGAGGCCTCCTGTCTTCTTGGTCCAGGCCTCAAGAATCAGAAAACGCAGCGCCACAAGCCCAGTCCCCATTCTGCTTCTATGGCTTCTACCTGCTTTAGAGTTTAACTGTTGTTATTGTTGGGTTCTTTGCATTTTTAAGAAAACCAAAAAACTAGCATCTTCCAACAATGGAATGGTATGTAAGCACAACAGAAATGTCTCGGGGTGCTTTGGGAGCCTACCAAAAGACTACGGCATCTGTATTGGGTGCCTCAGTATCCTCAAGGATACGTCTGTTCTGAGTGCAGAGGCAGCTGGTATCACCTGCCTTATCCACAGCCTCTTGACAGAGACAGAGAGAGCTGGGAAAGAGGTCTGCACATATGTGTCTGTGAGTAGGCACATTGGTATGGATGCTGATGGCTGCATTTCACTACTGACTGTACACAGTCCGTACAACAGAGAATATTATGTAACTGTACCTTTGTGTTATACAACCTGAGCGCAGGGATCTGAAATCAGAACTAAGAGCTTGTTCTCTTTTCATCGGCATGCGCCACCTCTCATCTTCCCTGTACCCTGTTGTCATGGACTTCATCTGAAATGAACCACTCTCTATCTGGAGATGGGACGGGAAACTAAAGTCAGGTTACTGTCTATATAAGATCGCGGTTTTCACAATGACTTCTTTTCTTTGGGTAACTTAGTCACTGTATGTGTATTCCTTGGGGCCACAATCACTGACTGAAAGTTCTTGGCAGGGTCTGTGTGTGCACGCATATGTGGCGGTCAGTGGACAAGTTGCAGGCATAGGTTCTCTCTTCCACCACGCACATCCAGGGATCAAACTCAGACCAGCAGACTTGGTGGCAAGTGTCTTTACCTATTGCACCGTCTCACTGCTCCCAAACTTTTCAAGAAAAAAAGAAGAAGAAGTTAAAAGGAAGCTGTCTTGTTATAGAACAAACATAAAGTAAATTTGGCTCTAGGTTCTTTTTAGATTTTAGCTTCCACATTAAGCGCCTTGCAGCTAGTTCCATGTTCTCATCAATAGACTATTGAGTGTTAGATGGTTAATCACCCTCAGAGTGGTAGATGGAAATGGGTTAACGTGAGCTCTTCCTGTCTTCTACAGGAGTGCAGAGAAGTGGTGAAAATTGGTTAAGACTAATTCTTGACCAGGTTAGGTGTGCCATGCCTTGAATCCCAGCACTCAAGAGGCAGAAGTAGGCAGTGCCTGCTCTATAAGCAAGTTCCAAGACAGCCAGAGCTATAGAGAGACTCTGTATGTATGTATATGAGGCCCTGAATGTGTATATTTGTGTGAATGTATATATGTATATATGAGTGTTATATGCATATATGCATACACACATATTTGTGTATGTGTGTGTGTATATATATATATGCATGTATTTTTTTTCAGCCCCTTTGCAGCTGGTTTCCAGCTCTAGCTCAATTTTCTTAGGGCTCCCATCAGAACTTTCCTAGTGTACCTGAAGGGCCTCTCCCTCTGTACCCCAGCTTCTTTTTCACTCTCCCTGGGTTCCCAGTCTGGGTCCAGCTGACCTCCCTCCTTAGGCCTCAACCCTCTGACTCTCTCTTGCTCCTTTTCTCTGTGATACGGAACCCTAAGCCATAGGGCAGTAAACAAAGGGGCCCCACAATCCAGGCTATGATGCAGATATTTCTCAGCCCTTAGAGCAGTGTAGGAGTACCCCTGGGAGATAACTCCAGTCTGTGCAACACAGAGACCCCTTTTCAAAATTACTACCAAAACTAAAGAAAATCTCTATTTGATCATTTCCAAAATGTCTTTGGACACAAACGTATTCAGATTCTGTAATCCTAAATTAGGGCAGGAATGTCACTCTCTCCCCTTCAGCCCCTCCCTTTACCCATAACCCCTCCACGTTCTCCCCTTCAGCCCTTCCCTTTACCCATAACCCCTCCACGTTCTCCACTTTAGCCCCTTCCTTTACCTATAACCCCTCCACTTTCTCCACTTCAGCCCCCCACCCTTGATCCAAACCCCCACCCACTGATTCCCTCTTGGAGCAGAGCACAGCTTTGCCATCTTCTAGCCTTACCCTCTAACTCCCCCAGCAGAGGACCTTGACCCAGGTGACTCTTACTCTCTGCTTCTCGGTACAGGGTGGAGAACATGTCCATGAGGTTGGAGGAAGTTAACGAGCGAGAACACTCCATGAAGGCATCGCTCCAGACCGTGGACATCCGGCTGGCTCAGCTGGAGGACCTCATCGGACGCATGGCCACAGCCCTGGAGCGCCTGACTGGTCTGGAGAGGGCGGAATCCAACAAGATCCGCTCAAGGACCTCCTCAGACTGCACAGATGCAGCCTACATCGTCCGCCAGAGCAGCTTCAATAGCCAGGAGGGGAACACCTTCAAACTTCAAGAGAGTATAGACCCTGCAGGTGAGGAGACCATATCCCCAACTTCTCCAACCTTAATGCCCCGTATGCGAAGCCATTCTTTCTATTCGGTCAATGTGAAAGAGAAAGGTGGGCTAGAAAAGCTGGAAAACATTTTCAAAGAAAGGTCCCTGAGCTTACACCGAGCTACTAGCTCCCACTCAGTAGCAAAAGAACCCAAAGCTCCTGCAACCCCTGCAAACACCTTGGCCATTGTTCCGGACTCCAGAAGACCCTCTTCATGCATAGACATCTATGTCTCTGCCATGGATGAGCTGCACTGTGATATAGACCCTCTGGATAGTTCCATGAACATCCTGGGGCTGGGCGAGCCAAGCTTTTCAACTCTAGCGCCTTCCACAGCCCCTTCAAGTAGTGCCTATGCAACCCTCGCACCGACAGACCGACCTCCAAGCAGGAGCATTGATTTTGAAGACCTCACTTCCATGGACACTCGATCTTTTTCTTCAGACTATACCCACCTCCCAGAATGCCAAAACCCCTGGGACACAGACCCTCCAATGTACCACACCATCGAGCGTTCCAAGAGTAGCCGCTACCTAGCAGCCGCGCCCTTTCTCCTAGAAGAGGCCCCCATTGTAAAATCCCATAGCTTTATGTTTTCTCCTTCAAGGAGTTACTATGCTAACTTTGGGGTGCCTGTGAAAACAGCAGAATACACAAGTATTACCGACTGTATTGACACAAGATGTGTCAATGCCCCTCAAGCGATTGCTGACAGAGCCACCTTCCCTGGTGGTCTTGGAGACAAAGCAGAGGACTTATCTTGTTGCCACCCCGAGCGAGAGGCAGAGCTCAGCCATCCTAGCTCTGACAGTGAGGAAAATGAGGCCAGAGGCCGGAGAGCTGCCAATCCGATCTCCTCTCAGGAGGCTGAAAATGCAGACAGAACCCTATCCAACAACATCACAGTTCCCAAGATAGAGCGCGCTAACAGCTACTCAGCAGAGGAGCCAAGTGCGCCATATGCACATACCAGGAAGAGTTTCTCCATCAGTGACAAGCTTGATAGACAGAGGAACACCTCAAGCCTACGAAATCCTTTCCAGAGAAGTAAGTCCTCCAAGCCAGAGGGCCGAGGGGACAGCCTATCCATGAAGAGATTGTCTAGAACATCAGCTTTTCATAGCTTTGAGAGCAAGCACAACTAAACCTTCTTACCGTGTGTTGCAGGAGGCTCGAGAATCCAGCACTAAAACTCTCCCCACGTCCACCTTGTCCCCCCCCCCCACTTCCTTGAGTTATATCCGCTTTACTCTTAGCTGAGCAAAACATTGCCTTGGGAGATGTTAACTCAAAGGTAACCTCTGGGCCACAGGTCAAGCAAGCATTCCGTCTGGCCCAGGGCCAAACACAGGGTTTTCTGGCATGTTCACATTTGTTGGGAAGGGAGGGGAAAAGAGGACGGAAAGGGTTTAGAGATGAATGTGTGTCACCAGGCACCACAGAAAGCCACGAGCTCTGGGGAACGAGCTCAAGCATTCTCCATGCCGGCAGGCATCTTGGGACTTCTGCCCTGTTACCAAGAGTTGAGGAGCCAGGGCTAAAATTACAAAATAAGATAAAAATAGCCAGCATGCAAGATGAGATATTCTAAACTTCCATTCTGTTTTCTTTTCACATTGGTTCCATCACTGGTGACTGATGAAGAACATCCCTTTTATTCAGTATAAGCCGGCAGCAAGCTGTTCTACCTAACGTCCCACATCCTTCTCATGCCAACTCTTCTGTAATTGGTCATTATAAAGAAAAACAAGGTAACAGTCATATATACAGTTCGCCTGTCTCTTATATATTCACTTCTGGTGCCACAACTGTTTATCTCTCTAGAAGAAAATAAGGGAACAGAAATGCCTTTTTTTTTGGTCCTTTTTGTCTTGCAATCGAAATGAAAGAAGAGTTGATATTGAAAGCAAGAGTGATATATGATTTATAATATACCATGGGCAACCAAGTGTATAGTCAAGCAAGCTCAGGACGAATGTAACTAGATAATTTTATATTTTTAAGTTATTTTGTATCTCACCTGTCATCAGTGAATTCACTCATCCAATAATATGTAATATTGAACTTTAAGAAAAACAGCAATGGGAAGAACTCACATTACATTGCCACGTGGGATGTTGTTCTAGTCTCGCCATCCATAGTGTGTCCTGCTGCTGTGTGGCCTTCTTCATTTGCATGTCTCCACTATGTCCTCCGAGCACCTCCAAGATGTAACTGCCAAATTCCCACACCACTCATCACATGACCATTTTGTATTTGAACACATGGTTATACGTGGATATTTTCATACCTAGAATTTAGCCATCGAATCTGGGCTCAGCATAAACTTAATTGGAGTTTCTCAAGGGCTGGTATCTTTTTTATGGAAATGTTCCAAAGTACTTTTGTTTTGTTTTGCTTTTTTTCCAAGACAGGGTTTCTTGTTTGTAACAGCTCTGACTGTCCTGAAACTTACTTTGTAGACCAGGCTGGCCTCAAACTCACAGAGATCTGCCTGCCTCTGCCTCCCTAGTCCTGGGATTAAAGGTTTGTGCCACCACCGCCTGGCCCCAAAGTATTTTTTGAGGAAGTTTAAAAACCATAAATAATCTTAGACTTGACTAGGGGCTTGGCGTCCACCCAAAGCCATCAGTTGCAGGCAGACCATGAATATGTTTATTTACAAAGTTATAAAAAAGGTATAGTAGGCCAAAAGAGAAAGCAAATATAGCTTATGCAGAGTTCTATAGTTTATGCTGTTTATGTATACACACACATGCACAGATACATGTTTATATACAGTAATAAAGCAGACAGAGAAACTTCTTAACAGGCTTGACTTCCTGTCATCTGAAGGTATAGCCAAGATTATTTTTTAATATTGAAGAAGCTTCACTGGAAAAAGTTTCACTGTGCTATTGGACCCACTGCTGAAATTACAATTTTTAGAAAGATCTCTGTCTTTTTAATCTTTTCTTACACTGAACAAGAACTGTCAAGGTGGCTCACCCTTGCCCTCTGCCTCCTCCTGTTTGGAAGCACGCACTATCGTGACATCTCTTTCACTCTGGTTTCTCTGGCAGGAAGCTATTACCACCAAATACAATCCGAATAGATGTGTGATTCCAAGCTAGTTTGTATTACACAGCCTAGGATGGAGGCATAAGTTTCTAAACTAGAATCTAGATTTGAAGTGGAATAAGAAAATCTCAACCACAAAACTTTGGATTCCTATTTGGATCACTGAATATTTTAAAATAATAAAGTCTTTAAGAAAACTAATTTGGAGCCAGGAGTAGTGATGATGCACACACCTGTGATCCCGGTACTTGGAGAGATGAGGCAGGCGGATGAGGAATTCAAAGTCAGCCTCTGCTACACATCAAGGTCAAGGCCAATCTAGACTACATGAGACCCTGTCACGAAAAAGGAAAAAAAGGAAAGAAAACATAAAAAGAAAAATATTCTGAGGCTAGGGCTGGGGCTCACTTCCTTAGCATACTCAAGGCCCTGTGTTCCATACCTAGTGGAGGGGGGAGAGAAGGAGGAAGGGAGAGAGGAGAAACAGAAACATGATTCATGTCCCTGGGCCCAGATGCTCTCTGGTTCTTTTAACTGTAGCGGTATCTCATTTAGTGACATCAAGTCAATCCCTCACAAAACCTCTAGCCTATAGCTATATATATATATATTTTTCAAAGAACCAAGCTTTTCATCCTAAAACAAGTGGCAAGCTCACATACATGTAGAATCAGTTTTCATCCTTGGTATTTCGGTAACACCCAACCTCTTCGTTAAAAACTATGCTGGAGACACATCCTTATTGATCTCTCTCCCAACAGACATGCATTGAATCCGAGAGTAAATCGTTTGACTCTACGCTTCCTTGAGCCATGAGTCCCTGTGAGCACCTCACGGAAGCTTTGAGCCCTGTCACCTCCCCCCCAAATTCACACCCATGTGAAGCTGCAATGTAACTTTCAGGGGTTCATGACTCCCCTGTTTCCACGGTGGCTGATGAAGAGAGAGACCATGTTCATCAGCAGCCAAGCTGAAACAGGCACTATACACTTTTAGACCATTTCCCTGTGATTCTTTGGAAGGCCATGTCTCTGTGCTTCTGTTCCTTAGAGTAGATACGGTTAGCTGGATGTGGTTGGGCCACTTCCATGACTTTGATTAGCAAGGATTCTCAAAGGCAGAGACTGAGGGAATCCATGGAGAAGTCCAAGGAAATGGGTTTGTCATCTGTGACCACAGGGCAGGTGCCAAGCACTGTGGGGCCTGGCTTGGGACCTCACTGGAAGCAAGGGAGAGAAAAAACAAGCCTGAGTGTCTCTGTTGGTTGTGACCACCTGAGAGAAAGAACGTGACCTGGGAAAGGAAACACGTAACAGTCCTGAGCTTTTGTTCTGCATGAAAATTAAGTGCTAGCCTCCTTGGTGAAGTGTGTGGAATCTCTAAGCCAAATGTCAACAACTTCAGACACAAACTGTGTAGGCCTCATAAGCCATCTCTTTCCTGTACGTGTGTGTGTGTGTGTATGTATGTGTGTGTGTGTGTGTGTGTGTTCTTTTCAGTCCCATCTCCTTCCATGTCTGGGTTCTCCGCACCAGTGTGGCATCGATTCTGTGGCCTTGTACAGACTGCTTGTGTTCAGCTCATCCGTCCCACCATGTCCCTGATGGAGGGGACCTTGATTACTTGCCTCGTGAATTAAGCAGCTCACGAGCAGCCGGTCATTGAAGACCATACATACATAAAGTCATAGAGGGCTCAAGGAAGAGATAGCGTATTTAATCGTCTGCTTCATAGGTGCCAACTTTTATATACTGCAATGTGTAATGATTTCTTCTAAATTGCTTGCTTGTTCCTTTTGGGGAAGAAACAATGGATGTTTTTATAAAAAAAATGGCCATATTTTATATTTACAGTTAGAAACGGATAGATTTGAATGGAGTGCTAGAACGCAAGAGGATAGTTGTCGTGGCCAGTTTGTGTTTCTGCAAGTCAAAGGAGGACAGTCGGAGTGCGGCACTTTATAGACCTGGGTGTTTCTTTAAGGTTGAAGCTTCCAGGGCCAGCTAATACTTAGCACTTTGAAAGTTCCCACTTTGAAAACAATATATATATATGCCAGAATAATGAAATGGGGGGAGGGGCACTTGTGAAAACACAAAATGTGTTTCTTCTGAATGTTACAAATGTATTTTCAAATCCGGTTTCTATAGATAACATTATGGTAGATCACTGGATAGTACGTTTCTTTTCGTCTTCCTGCAGCTGTACAGTCTAATCTCCCTGGGTGTTTTGGGCTGTTTGATTTCCTTAAAGATAATATTATCCAGTTATCCATCATGCTCTATCTATAGGCTCTGCCATGTGACATGTTGGGCGATGCTGTATTATAAAACACATGTAAACCTATCTGTAACCTGTGTTTAACCCAGCATAGTTGTAGCATGTGGTTGAATTAATGAACGTCACAGGACCGCTTTCTACTCATTCATAAATCTGTAACATTCAATAAAGAAGCACATGTGCAAGGATTGATGACGTTCCCATTTCCGGTTATTTGGCAGCTTCTGGCAATGGGCGTTTTTGTTCCTGGTCTTCATTATGTTGCCCATACTCCTCGGACTACTGTAAAATGTTTGTGTAAGCTGATGGCCATCCTCTACCAGGTCCCGCTTGCTGTGAGAGGCAGGGTATGGCTGTGCGATGGACAAGCTGGCATGTTATTGCAAAATACTATATAACCAATGAACTTAAATCTTTTAAACTCCAGTTGAATCGGCTGTTTGTTTACGTCTGCGGACCCCGTGTGGAAGCCGTGTACAGTATGTGATGAATACCTTCATTCAGTAGCGCTGTCTGTTCTAGATAAAGTGATGCCAACGTTTAGGCGGCTGTATACTTGGCCTAGATGTTGCGTTCAACCCGCTAATCCTTCCAATAGCGATGTGGCTTGACTGAAGTACCCCCTCTCCAGACTAAGTCTTAATGTTGTGCCAGCACAACGCACGCTGTGCTTTATGCACCAGTCTTGACTCTGTTTAGCGCACTTTAATCTTTTACTCTTGACTGCTGCAGTGCTTAAAACAGTTAGGGGCCCAGGCAAACTGTTGGGCTTCTTTAACTGCGGCTTCTTTCTGGTTTCAGAAATTAAACCAAGTAACCAAGGCTTCCTTTTGTTTCAAGTTTGTACAGCTCTGAACAAATAATATAGCTAGAGTATCCCCTGCAAGTCGCAATAGCTAGGGCCCCAGAGATGACAAAGCAGCACCACTCTGGAGTCCCAAGGTCTAGGTGCCGGGGCATCTGTGGCATGAAAGACATGCCTTGGATTCTTTAGGGCTTCCTGGGTGCAAATTGCTCAACCGGAGATGAAAGCCAAGGGTCCATGGTGGCAGGACAGGAATGCATGGACGCGATGGGTGAATGGTCCCGCGCTAGTGGACGAGGACCCCCCCTTCTTGTCCTGTGCCTTTTACACCTGTGTGGGAGCTGGGTCCAGAGGTGGGAACGGGCGATTGCTTGATCATCAGGTGACTCCAAAGAGTTTATTCTTTAAAGAACTCGCAGTTCCATGGTTACAAGCCATTCAACATCTGGAAAGGGATGGATCCAACTTGCACAGTCAAAATGCTCCCAAAATAAGCAGGGAAACCTTTTCTCTCCACCAGCTTTGCCCTGTGCTGTCTCTTGTATCTACAAGTCAAGCATTCTGTCTCTCAGATTAGAGTCAATAAAAGAAGGGGTTGGCTCTGATTAAAGAAGAACAACTCTTTCTTTTCTTTTTCAAATTAATTGCAGAGTGTTAATGTCGCCTTTGCTCTCGTGATCTCTTTGCACTGATTACCCCTAATAAAAACCAAGATGTTCCGATTTCTGTGTGTCGTCTAAGAGGGGATGGAGGTGACCAAGTCACCCCGATTAATCAAAAGAAGCGGTTTGTTTCCTAACTTTCCTGGAATAACTGGCAACCTCTGCTGGCAGCACATGGATCCCTGCACTGGCAGTGGGTTTGGAAACTGAAACAATGGACATCTATGTAGATGCCCATAGACTCTGGTGGGCATCAGTGCCAGCCATGACTCCAGCCCCTGGGGGGAGGCAGATTCCTGAGGAATGTGAGGCACAGGGTGAAATCAGCCTTGGGCCTGGGGTTGCAGCCTTTTTTTTTTTTTTTTTTAGACCCTTTTCTTTCCTTTTCCTTAGTCTAAAGCTAGCTCCTTTTTTTTTTCTATGTGTGTGAGACCAACAGACTCATCCATTACCTCATATGGACCCCCAAACAGTAACCCCAAACACTGACTACATGGGAAAAGCCAGATGTTCTGAATTTGTCCTGGGTCTGGTTTCCCAGCTGACTTCACCTCCTCCCTCCACCCAAGTTCCTAACGTGGCTACTGTGCCATCTGTCCCGTCTGAATCTGAATCGCCTGTCTGAATCCTGCAAGGCTCTCTATATCTCTACCCAGTCACCTGCCTCTCCATGAAGGGATGACAAATTCAATCCAAGACCCAGATCTAGAACACAAAAGAATGGGCCTAGGAAAGACAATGCAAGCAAAATCTGTTGACCATGAAAACATGTATGTCCCAACAGAAAGATTCAGATGTGGGCTTTCAAGCCCTGTGCTAGCCTCCCAGGTGTCTGCATCAGGATTCTCAATGGCCATGTCAGGGGGCCTCTGATTTGAAGCCAAGCGGGGTCTGATCCATGACTCTCACACAGAGAGCAAACACATCAAATACACTCAAGAACTTCAAGTTGGGAGAAGCAGCTCACCCTATTTGGGGTGACTCGTAGATGACATCCATGTCCGTGGAGAGCATGTTTTACTGGATCCAAACACAGGACCAGTGTGAGGGAGACTGTGAGGAAGGATGTTGTAGCATGTGAAGACTTAACCTGCTTCCTGTCACTGGAGGTATCTCACCTGAGTTTCTCTTGCTGCTACCACTGTGGAAGTCAGTCCGTGTAGTCAGTACCCTACACTCACAGCCATTTCATAATGTACCACATAGACTGTCACTTGTAAATGAGTTAATTATAGTTTACAATGGGGGGAATTATTCAGACACCATTTTTTAAATGAATTCCTATAAATACAATGATTTTCAAGTTGGGTTTACTAAACATACATACATCTTTTCTTCCTTTCATGTATGATAGAAAGAGGTTTGCCTACCTACTGATACTGGATATATATATATAAATCCAGAGGCATTGTTCTTTTTTAACGGTCTGTTATTGGATTCACAATGCACTTTGAGCTTGTCTGTTTAGATCTATAATTTGAAGCAGAAGTTGGCAGATGCTACGGGCAACGAACTTTCTGGAATTTCTGTAACAATTGTTTTGCAATAAAAAAAAAATACAAATGGTTTAAAACACGACTCAGACTTCCTTGTACATTTATGTGTCTCTACCTGCTCGTCACCATTCCCAGGCTAAAGCTCCTGGTGATTGCTAGGGAGTCACTGCCCGGAGCTGTAGGAATTACTCATTTTGGAAAAACAGAAGTTACAAACTGTTCAACTATGGGGTGTGTTCACCAGCAAAGAATGGATATTATAGGTCAATGCAGTGTGTGTGTTTCTTTTTAATTTAAACCATTTTCAAATTGACAGATATCACATCTAATTCTATGTTTCTGGTACTTTCTAAGAAATGTGAAAATCTGACCATAATAGACTTATCCTATTCCCACACAACTGAACGAAATCGTGTCGGTTCAATGTGAGTCCAGAGTCTCCAGTCCTCCACAGTTCCCACTGCTCCCTCCTATTCCTTATCTGAGTCCTTCCCTTGCTGAAATTTCCTGGAAAGCCCCTAGAAGCCCTGGAACTTCAGGACTAAAGGAAGTAAACGAGTAGTGGCAAGTTTAGAATACTGAACTAGAAAAGACTCAGGGTAGCAATTTATTTGGGGGATAAAGAATAAGAAGAACTTGTCTTTGTCCTAAAAATGTAGAACAACTATGACTTCATTATCCCATTTAAAGCATATTATGAAAATTTTCCAATAGACTGGTTTACAGGTCTGGCTGTATATTCCAATAAGAAGGACAAGCAAAAGCCTTGCCTTTATAAATCTTTAAATTTTTAAAAGCATAGACAGAGAAATTACAAAATATATACACATTCATTCATTTATTAGACAGCCTCATTTTGTTATACAGACTGGTCTAGAACTCCTGGACTTGAACAATCCTCCTGCCTCAGCCTTCCAGTTAGGAATGACCACAAGTGCATACTGTGGTGCCTAGTTATTCCTTCAATGAAAAAGAATTGTGCCCCAAAAGATACCAAGATGAGGGTCTGAAGAGATGGTTCAGAGGTTAAGAGCTTTGCCTGCTCTTCCAAAGGTCCTGAGTTCAACTCCCAGCAACCACATGGTGGCTCACAACCATCTGTAATGGGCTCTGGTGCCCTCTTCTGGCCTGCAGGCATACATGCAGACAGAATATTGTATACATAAAATAAATAAATATTTTTTAAAAAAGATACCAAGATGAATAAAGTAAACTAAGCCTCTGTGCTTGTGAAGCATCACACACAGCTGTCCTGAGAGTGGGATCATATCATTATCATTCAGTTGCCCAAAGAATAAAGCATGAAAAAAACAGTCTAGAGATTTAGAGGAGTGAGTGCTCTATGGCTCAGGAGAAATGTTCTGCATTGGACTGAGCCCGCCTACTCATTTCTTTGTAATGGAATGGTTGACACCATTTTCTGAAAGCAACTTGTTATATATGCTCTTCAGTGCATATAGCTGCCATAACACACATGGCATTCAATGAAGTGCCCTGGAAACCCTCAAATATAGACCGGCACGCATCTTCCTTGGATGAGACACCAACACAAGTGAGAAAAATACATTCTGTAGAAAAAAATTATCATTACGTTTTGCTCATATTACCTCACTTAACTGAAATACAGAAAAACTGATTGAACCATAAAAGGAAGGTCTTTGGTAATCACATCCTTATCACTGGGATTTTTAGTAATTACTTTTTTAACCTTCCTAAGTCACTGGTTATTTGACTTTTACCCAAACATTCAGCTCATCGCAATGGTAAAGCTTAATCCATTTCCTTAAAGCTGTGAGCTGTATTATGGTCATAATCTTTCAATATATTGTTGGGATAGAGACTAGTGATGCCCAGTTATCTTAGATAGTCACTTGAGATCAGAATATTGCTCTAATCTTCTCTGTCTTATTTGTTAAAGTTAGATATATTAGTTTTCTAGAACTTCCTTAACAAAGTAGCATAAACTTGGAAACTTAAACAATAGAAATTTATCATCTCATATTTCTGGAGATTTTTGAGTCCAAAGTAAAGAATGTATTCCCTTCACATGGTCTTGCCGGCTTTGCAATGTTTTCTGACACTCACTGGAATCTGTTGACTTATAAAAGCACCACCCTGTGCTCTGCCTTCATGTCCCATGATGTCACATGATGTTCCCCACCTATTGCCTCCAACTTCCTCCTTTTTACGAGAATACAAATCCTACTCTATTAGCCCCACCACTACCCTGCACCTTGACTCATTCTGCCTACAATGATCTTTTTTCCCTAATAAGGTCATATCTAAAGTATTCAGGGCTAGGATATCCACATATGGATTTGGGGAAAGAACAAAATCAAATGGTAATGGTGAGTAAATTTGTACATAGGTTCACAGAGGCCATTGGTCTTTCTCGTGTCTTTCAAGATAAAGAAATCAAAATTCAAGAACCAATCTAAAACCATATATGAGTTAACCAAAAGGAAAAAATGATAAATCAGTTATTCCAACCAAGAAATTATTCAAACTTTTATTTAAAGTTATTTTAAAAATTTATGTCTTTGTGTATCTCTATAAAAGACAATATGGGAACAGGGAGATGGTTCAGTAGGGGTGCCACACAAGCTTGACAATCTCAGTTCAATCCACAGAACCATACACAAACAGAAAGAGAGAGCCATCCTCTAAAAGTGTGCCTCTGACCTCCACAAATATGCCAGGGCATATAAAACCCACATTTTCACACACGCCATACACATGAACAATAAGAAACAATTTTTTTAAGGAGCTACACACTGAGTTTGAGGCCAGCCTAAGTGATATAGTAAGACCCTGTTTCAAAACTAAAAATGCATTCCAGTATAGTGGCTCATACTAGTAATCCCAGAACGTGGGAGACTGAAACAGAAGGATTGTCACAAACGTGAGGCCATGATGAAAGGAGACAGAGACAGAGACCCACACTGGAGCACCAGACTGAAACCTCAAGGTCCAAATCAGGAGCAGAAGGAGAGAGAGCATGAGCAAGGAACTCAGGACCGTGAGGGGTGCACCCACACACCGAGACAATGGGGATGTTCTATCGGGAACTCACCAAGGCCAGCTGGCCTGGGTCTGAAAAAGCCTGGGTTAAAACCGGTCTCGCTGAACATAGCGGACAATGAGGACTACTGAGAACTCAAGAACAATGGCACTGGGTTTTTGATCCTACTGCATGTATTGGCTTTGTGGGAGCCTAGGCAGTTTGAATGCTCACCTTACTAGACCTGGATGGAGGTGGGTGGTCCTTGGACTTCCCACAGGGCAGGGAACCCTGATTGCTCTTTGGGCTGACTAGGGAGGGAGACTTGATTGGGGGAGGGGGAGGGAAATGGGAGGCGGCGGTGGGGAAGAGACAGAAATCTTTAATAAATAAATAAATAAAAGAAAAAATGTGATGTCATCTTGGGCAACTGTCTTAAGAAATGCTACTAGGTGTGGTGACACCTGCCTTTATACCAGCACTCAGAAGAAAGAAGCAGAAAGAAGAAGAAAGGTAGGTCTCTGTGAGTTCGAGAACAAATGGGTCTACATAGAATGTTCCTGGTAGTCAGAGATATATAGTGATGCCTAATCTTAAAATAAATGTAGATGATAGATAGATAGATGATAGATAGATAGATAGATAGATAGATAGATAGATAGATAGATAGACAGATAGACAGATAGATAAACAGATAGATGATAATAGATGATAGATAGATAGATAGATAGATAGATAGATAGATAGATAGATAGATAGATAGATAGATAGATAGATATAGATAGATAGATATAGACAGACAGACAAAATAACAATAGTGATGATGCTAAGAATAATAATAACAATAAGTGCGCTGAATAAGTGGTAGTGGTAGTGATAGCTCAGTGGGAGAGCCCTTGGCCAGTATGTACAGGCTCTGTGTTCATTCCCAAGATTCACATAACCACACGCACACACACAGACACACACATGCACACACGTGCACACACACATGTACACATGCATACACGCACACAAAATTAATACATTAGGAGACTCTGGTTTGGTACCAATTTCTATAAAATTCAAACTAGACATACAGATGGAGATATATTGGCATATAAGTCATATAAGGCATATAAGTACTGCAGAGGTACCTCAACACATAGTAAAAGTTTTATAATATAGTTTTTCCTTTTGAAATGAATCAAAAGTAGCCTAAAGCTGGGTAGTACAGAACTTTAACTCCAGCACTCAGGAAGCAGAGGCAGGTGGATAGCTGTGAATTTCAGGTCAGCGTGCTCTACGTAGTTCCAGGAAGCCAGGGCTACACAGAGAGACTGCCTCACAGAGGGAGAGGGAGAGAAACAGAAAGTGACCTAAGCAAAGTTGGGGGGTATAACAAGAGGCATTAACCTCAGTTAGGAGGTTTTTTCTTCACTGTCTTTGTGTTAACGGCCATTGTAGGCATCACCCAGAAATCATGAGGCTTCCAATGCGAGTCATCTCCTCCAACAAATGATATAGTTAGAAGAAAATGGGAGAAATTGGTGTAACTACTAGTGTCATGAAATTATCATTTAAGGCATAAATATAATCAATGCCTTTTGAGCAGTTACTTTGTTCTCGTGAAAGAACTGAAATTTTTATTAAAAAGGCAAGACAGTCATGACTAAAAAGATAATTGCATGTTTTCATTATTTAATTAGAGCTGTTGAAAAAAAAATGGGACCAAGCAGCCTAAGTACGGCTCATCAGCATTCAAAGTGCTCAAGTAGAAGCTAATGGCCCGGGGAAGGCAGTGAGTGGATGGTTTCCCACATTTAGGTAGGAAATTGGACTCCATGTCCTATTCTGAGACTATAGAACGGGACTAGAAAGTCTTCAAAATTAAGAGGAGAGAACAAACCCTCTGGCCTGGCAGAACCTAAAGGGATATGTAAGACTAAAGACAATATAGGGCCAGATATTCCCAAGGCTAGAGCCCCAGGTAAAAACAAGATTCCACCATGAGAAAAAACGAGACCAATTCCTTGGGAGCAATAGGAAGTCACCCTGCCCTGTGCAGAGGACTCAGCCCCGAGAGGCCCTGCTAAGTGCAGTGGCCCCTTCAATTCACTCAGTTGTTTCAACACTTCTATGGTTATTATTCTGTCCTGGGTAGAGGAGAGGAGATTCACCATTCTATACATTAGTGGCAGGCTAGGGTTTGGACTTTATTCTGCGGCAGGAAGAAAGTGGCTGAAGAATTCTAGACAGGGCCCGTAGCACATGACAGTGAGGTCACTAGAGGAGGGAGGAGCAGTGGGGCCCATTGAAGGCCTGACTCTTGCAGGCAAAAGTGAAAGGAAGCTTCACAAGCCAACTTCATAAGCGCCCCTTGAATGCCTACTATTTGACAGACACTGACTGTCATTACCCTCTATCAGAAACAGCACCCTCTCACTCACCCTTCTGATGAGCTAAATCTTTCTCAGTAAAGGACTATGGTTAAATGCACGCCAAGGCCTACGCCTAGATTGCCTGCTTTCCAGGAACATTTGTGCCGTGGAGAACAGCTCTAGGCTTTGGCTGAAGCTCTTCATTAGGCCGGTGCATTCTTGGCTTGATAGGCTTGATCTAGAAGTGTCAATCAGCTAGCCATGGTGGTGAATACCTGTGAGCCTAGCACTTGAGAATAAGAGGCAGGAGGACTTGCAAGGTCAGTTTGAGTTACCTTGTGAGCTCAAAAGACAGTCACAATGATAGTAGTAGTTGTTGTAATTAAAGCAGCAGTTAGTTCTTCTCTTGGAAATTGGGTCTAGAGATGGTACAAAGGGGCAAGATGGGTAATAGAAGTGCAACCCAGACCCTTGGGTTGTCACCCGTCATGTTCCTGCAGGTTGGCTAAGTTGCAGAGAAAATCAGTCTGCCAAAAACAAGAGAGAGGAATATAGTCACGAAGACAGGAGCAGATGTAGGAACCAAAAAGATTCTAGAGTCTTCCTGAGATGTAGTTATAATCCCACATTTAGGCTCTAAAAAACATATCAGTATCCTTAAAATAAATACTTCTGTCATACACTGAATTATGTCCCCAAAGATACCTCTGTTCTAATTCCCAGAACCTGTGGCTATTAGCTTGTTTTGTCAGAATGGGTGTCCTAAAATGGGGGGGGGGGAATCCTGGATTATTCATGTGGCTCTGATTGGAAGGAGGGGAGTTGTTATGCCCAAATCTGCAAAGTCCCCCAAAAGCCAACAAGGAGACTGAGTGCTACATGTAAAAGCAAAGAGCCTTTATTTTATGCAAGTTTGCAAACTCAGTCTCTCCGCATGTCCAATGTATTGGAATAAACGGAGAGCCCTGAGCTCAGTTAGAGTTGGGTTTTTATAGTAATAAACGTGGGACTGAGGGGTTTCTGAGCTTCAGGACCGCTGATTGGCTGACATTTGTCTAGGGGTATCCTGGTGAGTGTGTTCTGGCAGGTGATCCTATCTACAGCGGTTGGAACATTAGGCATTTCCTTTGGATGGTCTGTTCTTGAGTGGTGCTCAGGGAATCTTAATTTATGGTCCTTTCTGCCACCAGGTATTGCTTCAGGGTAAACTACTGAGACTCGGGCCTCTATTAAACTTATCGATGCCCGAGTCCTACACTGGCAGGTGATAATGGTTGGAAGTAAAAACTTCCTTTGGGTGATCTGTTCATATCATGGCTGGCTCCTATAGGAGTCAGAGTCAGAAGGCCAGGGATAACAGAAGTAAACTGGAAGAAGGGGCCTAAAGTCCAGGAATGCAGGAGGCCTCTAGAAGCTGGAAAAGACACGGACTAGACCCACCCATAGTCCCTAGAAATTATCAGATATGCTGCCATCTTGGTTTCACGTCTTTAAGATACGCTTGCATTGATGGCCTGCAGAACCATGAGAGAACATCACATTGATTTCTCAAAGCAGCACTTGGGAACAAACACATTGCAACCCCAAACCTAGCATTTTTTAAAGTGAAAATATATTGTACAACCTCCAGAATCTCACTACAGTAATATTTTTTCTTTGTCTTTGTACTACATTCTAGCCCAGGCTGGCCTCAAACTCATGACCGTCTTGCCTCAGCCTCCTGAGTACTGTTCAGATATATGGTATTCAGTTGGGTGTGATGATGCCTACAGTTTCAAGCTTGGGGGTTGGACAGAAACATTGGTATATTAAATGTATACATGGATCAAAAAAATATCCTGGCTTCAAGATGTGGACAAAGAAACTTAGAATTATTAATACAGCTATTTACCCTTCCAGCTATAGTTCAACCATCTCTATTTCTACAGAGGATTTGTCAACCCACCCTAAGGATCTTTCCTTACTACTCAGCCTTCACACCTTACTGCTAAGTTTCTTTGTCTCTGATCCCTCTCAGGCCAGTCCTTGGAGACTGAATAAATGAAGAAATAAATGCATATTTCAGCTCAGGCCCTTGGCAAATCCCCCACTGAGTAGCATTAACACATGTCCCCATATGAACCTGATTTTGCTAAGTCATAAGTTAATAATATAAACAAATTCCCCTTGAGTGTGTAGTATGCTTTTAATGTACATTCAAGTTTGCAATGGATACAGAGCCAAGTTGGAGGAACCAGGGAGGGTTTCTCAGGAAGGGTAAGATTTGAACTCGAATATCTCAGGTGGGGAGAATGGGCAAAATGTCAAGGTAGGTGCAGATTCAACAAGAAAGGTATAACCTTGGTTTTTCAAAAGTCCTAACAGCATGAAGATGCAGCAGAGTCTGAAAAGCGATCAGGGACTCACTGGCGCTGGAGTACACTCCAACATGTGGTAAGTAAAAAAAGACAGGTCCAGAAAACCTTATCTGGGATAGAGCTAAAGATGACTCAAAAAGGCAACAATAGAAAAGCTGATGTGGGAAATAGACAAGACTCATCAGTGAGATGAAAGCACTTCAGGGTGTGCTAAGTATGAAAGAATCTTCTGGATGGACATAGCAGAGTGAGAAGAGACACTAACCAGTGAAGAGGGGAAAACCAAAGATGACGCCAAGGACTTAAGTCTTAAATGTGATCCTAGAAATATAGAGAGGGCAACTGTGTATTGTCACTGTGTCTCCTCCCGACAGAAGAGCGAAGACACAAATAAACTATGAAACGAAGTCAAATGAGTGAATTAAATGAACAAATGATGACAGCCCGTGACCCAAAGAGTGACAAGATCACACAAGTCTGAAGCCAAAGACACATGAGACCTTTCGCTTGAAATATGATCTGAGTTGAAGAGTATTTGGGCACTGTGGCCAAGAGCGCTTTAGTCACCAAGGTGTTCTCTCCTGTGTGATATGTCTGAGTAAGTCCTCTGTGAGCCTCTAATCCAATAGCAGCAGACCATGTCAAATATGCAACAGTTGTCCCTCTGGGGCGTCTTAGGCATGCCATGAAAGCTAACTTGGCCATGGGAAGAAGCTCTAGGAGGGAGTCAATGGAAGGCCCCATGTGGCTGAATGTGCATGAACAGCTGACAACAAGGTATGCTGACTAAGAGATTGGAGACTGAAAGCAGCAAGCCACACAACCCAGAGCTATCCCCCCTTGTAGGAGAGGCAGCCTAGGAACCCAGTGGGTCCTTCCCTACAGCACCCAGATGCCTTCCCCAATATGATCTAAATCACTTTGATCTTGATTGCGGTTCTCTCTGCCCACACCCTCATCCCTCAAACTCGTTCACTTTAAAAGCTCTGATCTATCCTACCTTGTTTATTTTTTGTTTTATTTTTTATTTTTGTTTTTGGAGATAGGGTCCCTCTACACAGCCCTGGCTGTCCTGGAACTCCCTATGTAACCCAGACTGGCCTCAAACTCCTAGAGATCCACCTGCCTCTGCCGGGATTAAAGGTATGTGCCAGGACACCTGGCTTACTTTGCTTATTTAGTGAACACAACCATGTCCCATTTCCTAAGAAAACTGATCCCTGGTGTCCCTTGTGTACCAAGGGACCCATTTTGTTAAACAGGACACACGCGGGCTATGCAGAGAGGAGGGTGGAGGCAGGGATGGTGTATGCTAACACACACAGGCACACGCACAATCCTGCTTTGCTTTGTTTCTCTTTCAATGTGTTTGAGTCAGGGGTCTCACTCTGTAAACACTCTGGCTGGCCCCCAAGCTTACAGTAATGGTTCTGCCCATGTTCTCGAAGTGCTGAGATTACAGACGTGAGCCACTCTGGCTAACATCACAGATACTGTCGATAAGTTCTTTTTCTCAGAGTTCATACACAGTCCAGGCAAAAGAAGACAGCTGATGTAGCCTGTTGTCCCTGGCTTCTAGAGACTGGAAGAGCTGTTTCTCGGTTTCCTGTTGGAGGCTTTCAAGCAGACTTGTCTCTGCTCTCTGGGCTTCTAGACTGATGGTGGAGGCTCCTGTGGCTCAGCTGTATTCAATCAATTTTGCTGGGCTATTAGCTCAGTCTGCAGTGGACAAAAAAAAAAAAAAAAAAAAGCAGGTCAGCTCTATCGTGTCATGCCTGCACTTCAAAAAGTTCCAAAAGCCAATCTGATATCTCTCCTAACATATTCTCTCCACTGCTCTGTCTGCTACAGATGTCTACGGGTTGGACTAGGCCTGTGATTCCTTAATTTCTTGATGTATAATCATTTACTGTGATGTACTGAACGCTAAAAACAACACTTAGGGGGGTAGGAGAGAGCTAAGATTTGTACAGCTATTTAAAGAGGATCACAGATCATCCACTGTCACCAAAGAAAGGCTCTGGGAAGCCCAGGTTAAGACCCAACAGGACTCCATGCAGCCTGTCAAATGGAAAAGTACAGTCACCTGGAGCCTCTGTTTGCAGAGGAGACCCAGCTGACAGCTGTCTGCAGCGGTACCGCAAGCAGCAGAGACATACTCATGGCTCTCTGCTCTCCTCCAGCCGCTAACAAACACACCAAAGTCAAGACAGCCAGACCCTGAATTAAGCGAGTCAAGCTATTCCTGATGCAGACGGTGGAACGGTCTAGGTCTCCTGAAAAATAGCGTCTGCAAGGGGGGAAGCTGTGCCTGCAAACGGGAGCATGGTAATCACCTCAGATTGTCTGGAGATCTGTCTCCTGCTCCACCAGCTGGAGAGACTCGCTGCTAATAGGAACGCCACTCTTTGAAAGCAAGCAGCCTTGCCTATCACGGCACTGTGCCATTTGCTCTGTCACAGTGGGTGCTCTTAGTGAACAAAATACATGTGATCACAAGCTGCCGATCCATGGGCACAATTGTCACATCTCCTGCTTTTTCCAGGGAATTCTTTGACTCCCCAGAAGTCATCCTGCTTCCTCTATTTCTTTTATTTATTCATTTATTCATATGTGCATGTATATTTTGCCTGCATATATGTCTGTGCACTACACATGCATATGGTACCCAGGGAGTACAGAAGAGCATGTCAGGTACCCCGGAACAAGAGTCACAGATGGTTGTGAACTGCCATGTGGATGCTAGAAATCAAACTCAGGACCTCTGGAAGAACACCCAGTGCTCTAAACTTCAAAGTGAATATCCATACATCTTCCATAGTTACAACAACCATCAACATTTTGCTGTTTGCTTCTTCCATCTCTATATAAACTTCCCCCTAAAGCTATATTAATCAAAGCACTTCACTTCTGCAGACTGGAACATGTCTCCCAAGAATAATGAATGATACCTCCCCTCTATGGTTGTTGTAGTGTTACCATGCACAAGGAAGCAACAACAATCCTAAGGTCATCCACCATCTAGTCCAAGTCAAATTCCACAATTATTTCCAAATTTACTCTTGGGACCATTTTTATCTTCTAAGCCAGCATGTTTGATTGTAATAGCTCTTTAGCCTTTCAGACAATGGCTGCTTCTGCAGCATACCTACTTGGTTCCCATGAGACTGAGTTTCCAAAGACTGCAGGTCAACTGTCTTGTTGACTGTCCCACATTCTGAACCCATGTGGCTGTTTTTCATTTCTTAGCCATGTTCCTCTAGACTCTGTGTCCTATAAACTGGTAGCTAGATCATACTCTGGTTAAACATATTGGATAATGATGGGGCTATTACTCAGTGGTAGAGTGTATGTATAGCATATATAAAACTATGTGTTCATAGCCCAGTGCCACAAAAATAGAAGGAAGGGAAGAAAGGAGAGAGGGAGGGAGGAATGGAGAAAGGGAGGGAAGGAGAGAGGGAGAGAGGAGGGAGGGAGGGAGGTAGAATGGATGGAAAAGAAGGCTTGTTCAATAAGAATACTTCACAAATATCTTCCACATTTTGGTGTCACACCAGGAGGTCACCAAATTAACTGTGCATTAGAAGAGATGCTGCCCTTGATCACATGGTCAATGTGGTCATCACCAGGTTTCTATAGTGTAAAGATATATTCTACCTTGGTAATTCATATGAAAACTGGAAAGTGATATTTGGGGTCACATGACTTATTTGTCAGGGAACTTTGGAAAGACTGTTTTAGCACTGAGATCCTTCTGTCCCTGTCAGTTATTCTAAAACTCCCTTTTGGAGTTACCTAATCCAAAGGGCAATCTTACTGTCACATCTATGTAAGGCAAGAAGCAGATTGGGCCAGGCAGTGGTGGCACATGGCTTTAATCCCAGCAGAGGCAGGAGGGTCTCTGTGGGTTCAAACCCAGTCTGGTTTTCAAAGTGAATTCCAGGACAGCCAGGATTACACAGAGAAACCCTGTCTCGAAAACTTTGGCGGAGTGGGAAAAAAAGCTAGGTCAGATCTGCTTTGACACTGCTTCCTGCTCTCACACAGCATTACCACTGAAGACCACTCCTGCACAGTCCTAGAATTCCGGTCCGTCTTGGGATCCCACCACTTTTGTCCCCATCATTGAACGGGCTGCTGTAGTCTATAAGGACAAAGTCCCTCCCTCAGTGCTAGGTGGAGCTGTGTATGCATGCCCTTCTTCAACTCACAGAGGCTCTTGTCAAGAGCAGCTCACCCCAAAAACGCCTCTTCACAATTAGCCCAGCCTCTTCTGCTTCACAGATCCCCTGACAGCCCTGATGCTATTCTCTCCTCCCAAAGACCCTTGCTACAGGGCAGCAAGCACAGAAAGCGGCTCTGACGATTCTCCCTTTCCTGTCCTTTTTTTTTTTTCTTGTCTTAGAGCATGTGCTTTAGTTTTTTTGAAAAGCCAAACAGCTCTGATACAGAAGTCATTCTGGAAAGTCTATATGCACCTAAAGTTTTGGCTGATAGCTCAATGATTCCCAGCATCTAAAAAGACCCACAGATAGCAGGCCCCAATAACTATCTTCTCCTGGCCACTAAAGAGAACAGTACTTTGCGTCTTAGTGTAGTATGCTAGGACGTGCTTAAAGACACAGGGAGAAAGCCCCTAAATTTGCAGACTTTGTTAGTTTTTTTATATGAATATTTCATCTATTGCTGAGTTTAGATTATTAACCAAGGTTATGTCTTGACACCATAATCGGCTGTCCCGCCAGCACAACACAGCTCTAGCAGATGGTGGTGTTTATGATAATTGCCTCCTTTCTTCATAATCTTGCTGCTTAAATGCTCATCTTTAAAAACCTGAAGCTAACCCCCCTTTTCCTTTAGATAATTAGAATAATACTGAGCTTTTTTTTGCTAATTCTTCATATATGAATGGCATCAACGATGCTCAAAGTAACTATACTATGATAATTTTCATGGTGGCCCAGATCCCCAGAATGGAGTTAGACCACCATGTACTTGGGCATTTGGACTATTTCCAGCTCAGTGCTATTAAAAATAGTAATGAATATTCTGTTGAATCTACACTTCAAATTGGAGTCCCTGATTAGTCTGGTAAGTATAGCTTCAACTTTAGTGGATGACACAAACTTCCAGGGGAGAGTTTACCAAATCCTCTTTCCTCCCACCGTCTGAAATTCTGCCCTGCTCCGTCTTGTCAGTTATTGTCAGCGTATTTAATGTCAGCCTTCGCAGAAAATGCATAATGATGTTTCCTTGTGCTTCACAGTTTATTTTTCCTGATTGCTAATTAGCATATTGTCTATTGTTTTTGGTCATTTGAATTTCCCCTGCATTTCAACTGCTTTTTTCTCTGCCGCCTGGGTTTGTACGGGGTATTTTCACATTCTCAGATAGAAATCCCCTGCCAATGGTAGGACTTGCCAGTATCTCCCTTCTCCACGGTTTCTCTCTTCAAATCTTGTGCCCCGTTATGAATATGGATTGTTTATAAAGCTTTTTGTATTCTCCTCTAAAAATTTCTATTCTCAATAAAAATGGCAAAATTCAAAGTAGAAACTAGAAATTACTATATGTGAAGAAAAATCCTGCCTCCTGCACCTTCCTAAAAGAAGCCAGGCTGGTAACTTAAAGACAACGTGCTCTTCCAAGAGCGTTTCTATAGGTGACAGCTTCAACCGGTCCCTTTCAAGAGGCTCCACCTTCCAGGACCCAAAATTTTTGCCGGTCCTCTGGATAGGGAAAAATACAAGCTCAGCTTAACTGCTGTTGGACCCTTCTGTACATTCTCCCTTATTTGCACCTGCAATGATCTTGTGTTTACGTAATACACATGTGTTCAGGTGTTTTCATAGCTATTAAGAACTTCCTTCATAAAGTTACTTGGGAATCTTATGACACTATGTACTTTAATAAGTTAACTTCCGCCGGGCGGTGGTGGCGCACACCTTTAATCCCAGCACTTGGGAGGCAGGGGCTGGCGGATCTCTGTGAGTTCGAGTCCAGCCTGGTCTACAGAGTGAGTGCCAGGACAGACTCCAAAGCTACAGAGAAACCCTGTCTCGAAAAACCAAAAAATAAAATAAAATAAGTTAACTTCCCCCAAATCCTACATACTGTGGTATGCATAGTGGTACTTTGAATCAGTCCAACAGAGTAAGATAGCTCTAAGCAAACCAGGCATAGTGGATTACCTGCACAGGCAGCACTGCCCTCCTGGGAGCTAGCATTCATTAGGCATCTGCTTCTGGAAGGTACTCTACATGTATCACGCCTAATGTTCCAGTCTACCAGGCAGCTTCTATCAATCCAACTTCATGAAAAATTGAAGGTTCAAAGGTAATTGTAATAGCTCAGGAGGTAAAGCAAGTGTAATGATCGAAGCATCAGAGTTTAGATCCCCAGAACTGACATGAAATCCAGATAAATGTTACAACCTGCCTGTAATCCCAATCCGCCAGAGGCAGAGACAGGGAATCTCTTGTGGCCAGCACAAGCCAGCTAGCCTGACTAACCAAAACAGTGAATTTTAGGTTTCTGGGGAGACCATGACCTAATGTAGAATATGGAAACTGATTAAGGAAGATACCTGGCATCAGTGCCAGGCCTCCACATACACATATGTGCACCTACGCCACACACACACACACACACACACACACTCACACACACTCACTCATGCAAAACAACTGAAAAGTTCAGTGTCACAAGTATAGCAAAAAAGTGGAGTTCAAATTCCAACCCGACTCTTTAAAGCACTAAAGTCTATGTCCAAGTCCTTGGAAAGCCTGGATTTGGGTTCTCTAACTCTTTGCCAGAGAGTGATTCTTCGAATGGAACTAACCAGGGAACCTGTGTTGATTTGAATAGATGTCCCCCCCATATGCTCAGGCATTTGGTCCCCAATAGATGGCGCTTTTTTGACATGTTTATAAGGCGTGACCTTGTCGGAGGAAACACGTCACTGGGGGGCGAACTTTGAGAGGTTGAAGGCTCTTGCCTTCTCTGCTTTAGTCTCTCTGCCCCTAGCTTGCCTTTCCAGACAGAAGCTCTGGCCGCTGCCACTGCAGTGCCTGCCTCCACACTTCCCTGCTGTGATGGCGAAGGTCTCTCATCCCTCTGGAACTGTGAACCAAAAATAAACTCTTTCTTCTCAGAGTTGGCCATGGTGTTTTAGCCTAGCAATAGAAAAGTATCTAAGACAGAACCAAATAATTATCTTCACAGATCTCTGTCCACCATATTTATTCGGGCAAAAAAAAAATGCCGAATTTTGTGTTTATTTTCTCCAAATACATTTGTAAGAAGAATATAGAGTTAAAACTTGAATAATGTACCTTATGGTGGCAATTTAAAAACAAGTATGACAGGTAGGGGGAGGATCAGGAACCATAAATGTCCGTTTCCTGAGCTTGCTGTTAATCTAACTTGAAATGCATAAATGTTTCCTGCTTCTACATCACAAAAGAATCACCACAACATCCCATTACTTACTGTTTTGACAACACACAATCCATCTAATCCAGCTCACCTGTTGGAAGGCAAGAGCTCCTCTGAGCAAGCCAAGAGATGATAAATGGGGGACGAAGGACTCCCGACTGCAGCCCATTCATCACGTCTCCCAGGAAGTCAGACCCAGGGGAGCCGATGTATTCCATGTGGCAGACAAGAGGAAAGAGACCACCAAAATGGCTTGCCAGACCTCTTAAGCTTCAGACTCCAGAATCAGCATCCACTTTTCTTCCTATTTGGCATGTTAGTGCTAGAACCTGTCTCTCCTCTCCCACTCACCAAGTCTGTTCACGCGTTTTCGGCTGTCTACTTTCTCAACTGGAGAAAAGACGGCCCCTGTTTCCTGAGGCCTGGGTCCAACATGGGTTTTCTCATCAAATAGCTAAAACAACCCGATGACGTAGGCGCTGACGCCCCCTTTTAATGGAATGACATCTTTTGCTCGGGAACACGGGGTCAGGTGGCAGCATTGAGCTGTAACCTCATGTTCACAGTCAGGAAGCCTGACGGCTTGTGACCCTCCTCTGAAACTGTCTCTCCTCAGTTCTGCGAAGACTTTATGTGTATGGAACCAAACAATTTAGACTTCTAAGATTTTGAGCTATTAAAAAAAATCTGATCAAATTATCTGCTTTCAAGGGCTCTTCACCTCTCCTGTCTCATTTTCTCCTTGGGCCAAGCCATTCTGTGGTCGCAGTACTGCGACTTAAGGAAGCATATCAAAACTTGGTAAAAGCCAGGCACTATTGTGCATGTTATTAATCCTGGCACTCAGGAGGCTGAAGCAGATGGATCTTTGTGGTCTACATAGCAACTTCCAGGACAACTAGGGCTACATAAAGTGTCAGTCTGTATATCTGTCTGTCTGTCTCTGTCTGTGTCTCTCTGCTTCTCTGTCTCTTACACACACACACACACACAGTCTTGAGTATAGCTGGGGATGTAGCTTAATGTTAGAGCAACCACCTAGAATGTGCAAGACCCTAGGATCACTCCCCCGTACTACAGAGAGGATAAAACCTCAAACAAAGATGGAGCCACTCAGTGTTATGTATCTGTAATGCCAAACCTCAAGAGGATAATTCAAAAGGATACCTTGAGTCCAGTAACTTAAAACCAACGTGAGAACGTAATGAGAGTTTCTCTCAACAAACAAATACACCCTCCATCATGTAGAGAGGCATTATGATAGGATACAACACTAAGCCTGCTTAATTTAAACTAAATATTTACAGACTACTGTCTTACGTAGCATTTTATCTCTAAGTGCCGCTAGGAGTATGGTATGTATTTACTGCAGTGTTACTGTGAAAACTCTGAGCTAATTCAGACTTTTGCTTCACAGTCAAGGAGGGTCAAGTCCAACAAGGTTGAGTGATTTGTCCGGGCCATGAGCTGCTAAGTGGTTTTGCTGCCCTCTTCTAAAGCATATGTTTGCCCCTTGCCTCTACATCACCGTAATTGCCAGTCCAGGGCAAATACACAGCCTTGTGCCTAGGGTCTCCTGGGTTCTCCTCCTTCTACCCTTCCTCCCACTGGAGGCTCTTGGTGCTTTGCTCTCCCTTAGAAAATCTCCCTCACCTCCAGTCCACCAAGTGTCTCTCTTCACAGCTGTCTCAGTAAGGGTTTCTATTGAGAAAATGAAACACCATAGCCAAAAAACAAGTTGGGGAGGAAAGGGTTTATTTGACTTACACTTCCACATTGTAGTCTATCACCGAAGGAAACCAGGACAGGCGCTCAAACAGGAAAATAACCTGGAAGCAGGAGTTGATACAGAGGGCATGGAAGGATGCTGCTTCCTAGCTTGTTCCACATTGCTTGCTCAGCCTGCTCTCTTATAGAACCCAGGACCAATAGCCCAGGGATAGCCCCACCCACAATGGGCTAGGCCCTCTCCAATGAATCACTAAGAAAATGCTCTACAGACTGGCCCACAGCCCAATCTCATGGAGGAAATTTCTCAGTTGAGGTTTCCTCTCGGATGACTCTAGCTTGTGTCAAGTTGACATAAATCTAGCCGAGCACAATGGATCCTTTGTCAACTTGACACACAAATATGTCACTGTTGAGCCACAACCTTCCTTTCTTGTTCAGCCCCAAGATCACACATTAATAAAGACATTACAATATAAAACATTTTACAGACTTAAAAAATCCCACAGTCTTACCATTTGAAACATGCTATAAATTGTCTCTTTAAAAATATCAAGTCTCTTAAAATCCAAATTCTCCTTAAAGCCCCAAAATCTCTTCTTCAAAAGTTTAAAGTCTCTCAACTGTAGAATTCTGTAAAATAAAGAGGTAAATTAAGTACTTTGCTACTTCAAGGGGGAAGAGCCAGGGCACAGTCGTAATCTGAACAAAGCAAAACCACACTCCAAAAGTATAAATAACTGAATGTCTAGTACCTGGGATTTACTCAGTCTTCTGGACTTGGGTCACTTCTCCAGCTCCATCCCCTGCAGCATGCACAGCCTGTCTTCTAGATTCAGGCTGGCTCCCCTCCACTGCTGCTGCTGCTGTTCTTGGTGGCCATCCCATTGTGCCGGTGTCTCCAAAACACTAGGGTCTTTTGTGGCAACTGGGCTGCCTTTTTACCAATAGCCTCTCATTTGGCTCTTTTCGTGGTGCCAAGCTTCAACTTCTTTGCATGACCCCTTCAACCCTGAGCCTTTAACTGCTACTGAAGCTGCATTTTTACCAATGACCTCTCCTGGCCTCTCACAGCGTCAAGCACAGCTCTCCCATGACCCCTTCAGGCCTTCAAAACCAGTACCACCTGGTAACTCTTACACCTTGAGCTACCAGATCAAGGTACAACTTTGGCCACCTCTGAACACAGCTTCTGTGTGATGGCTCTCCCCGGGAAACACTCTCCAGATTTCACCTCAACATTGCTGGTCTCTTGTTTATCACAATTTATTTCTCAACTCCAGCCAACCAATATCGAGTGTTCCAGCAAAGCCAAGGTTTCACTTCAGTAGTTCTGGTATCTTATAAGTCACAGCTGATTCTCCAACCCTGGCAAATCAGAATCACAGAATTTTTTTATTCAAAGTAACAAATGGTCCTCATAGAGTCTTTAAACTTTCCTCTGAAACTTTACAAGCCAAGCTTCTGCCTTCTGCTTTGCTCTCGACCTCCTTATCTTCCAAGTTCCCACAGAACAGCTCACCAGGCACTCAACACTCAATTTTTCTTGCACAAAATTCCAAAGTCCTTCCACAAGCATCCCCAAAACAACACGGTCAGTTCTGTCACTACAACACCCCACTCCTGATACCAACTTGTCTTAGTTAGGGTTTCTGTTCCTATGGTGAAACCATGAGTAAAAAGCAATTTGTAGAGGAAAGGAAATATTCTGCTTACACTTCCACACTATAGTCCCTCCTTGAAGGATAGGCACTTCCTATTCTAGGAAGCCATGATAGAAACTCAAGAGGGGCAATAACCTGGAGACAGGGGGATGCTGAAGCCATGGAGGGATACTGCTTACTGGCTTGTTCCTGCCCCTTTCTTATAGGACCCAGAATCACCAGCCCATGGATAGCACCAACTACAATGGGCTTGCCCCCTCATCAATCACTAATTAAGAAAATGTACTATAATCTGGCCCACAGCTCGATCTTATGGAGACATTTCCTCAATTGAGGTTTCTCTCCTTTCAGATGACTTAGTTTGTGTCAAGGTGACATAAATCTAGCCAGCACACCAGCCAACTCAGAGAAAAAATGTTTAGGACACACCCAGATGAGAACGGCTAGGAGAGCTGCTAGCTGCACTAGAAGCAATGATTTTCCAGTATTTGATCCAGTCGTGTCTTTGGCTGTTGTTTTGTTGTTTTGTTTTGGGGTTTGGGTTTTTTTTTTCCTCTCTGAAATTATGGAGAACTCCCAGAGAGCTCAAAACCAAACAAAGATTAGTGAGAAGAACAGCATTGTTCTGTGTTTGCAAACCTCTGTGGTATTTGGCATAATAGAAAACAGCTGGGTTCTCGGGTCTGGTTCTGCAGCCTGGCCCTTTCCATCGCATGTTATGCAGACTCTGGAAAAGTCCCCGCACATTCATAGGAGACTGATTGAGAAAGCCTTGCTCTGAGAATGGTTCTGACTTCATAGAGCCACTGAACGAATTCCCACGGCCTCCCCCTACAGGGTGTTCCATGATCATACATTGAAAACTGCTGGTACATGAACGAATGTGCACTCAAAAGATCTCAAATCCGGGTGGTCACTTACTAGCCATGTGACCTGGGCATTAATGTGTGCATAAGAGAGAGCCTGGTACAGGCAGGCAGGCTCCCCGACCCTTCTTTCGAGAGAGTTTCATGGCTTCAAAATCACTATGTAGACCACCATGGTCTTGAATTTTTAGTCCTCCTACATCTACCTCTGAGGCAGGGGGTTGCAGGCATGTGCCACCATGCCTGGATTCGTATGGAGCTGGGATTTGAACCCAGGACTTTGCCATGGTAGACAAGCACTCTGCCAACTGAGTTTCATCTCCAGTCCCAAAAGGCTTTTTCCGAGCTTCTCCAAAATGCACTTATGGAAAGGGCGTGGGGGTAACTTTAAGGATGGTGCCTGGATACAAAGTCCAGTGATGGAGTTTCAGAAAGACTGGGAAGGGAAAACTGAAAGCAAATTGTGCAAACATTTTTATCCCTTGGGCGGTCCCTACCTAGGGTCCCTCGGTTCACAGCATTTATGTGGCTACCTTGTGGAAAATTCCAGCTACGGAAGTATGAATCCTACTTGTGCCACTTCTTTGGCAGTGTCTGTTCTATCTGAACCTTTCAGCCCCCACTGACTCATTTAAATCACCTCTGACCCTCAACATCAAATGGGAGGTTCCCTGAAAAACGTTGCCCTAAAGACAAAGGTCCCTGGATTGGATGTCCCATTCCCACCTGCTGTTGAGGCTCTCTTTCTCCAACTCTTTGGGGAGACTGGCGGGGAGGCTCTCACCCTCCTAGCCACACTTCATGCTGTAGGCATGGACGGGATCCGGGGCTCATCCTGATCTATTTCCAAACTAGATAATGAACAGGAATTCTTAATTAGAGTTAGTTCTTGGGGAATTGTTGCTGTGGATGTTAGAAATAATGGAGTCTGGTCTGCATTGAGGATTGTGAAAATTAGTTTGGCTATCTGGAACAGTCTGCTTCTCCTCCTCAGCCGTCTTTTAGAGCTACCGAAGACCAATAACAAGCTCCCATACTACATTCCTGCTACCGACACAGCGAGGACTCCAGGAACTTTAGGTGGTATTTTTAACCGACTTATCCAGTCCAACTCCCACTTAAAATACACCCTGAGAAAGGACATCAGGGACATAGCAGTCCTGACTCTCAAGCACTCTGAAATTCAATTTGAGCCCAGTTGGAGACACACGACTGAAATGTTTGGGAAGAGGGGAAAAAAGCTGTTGATGGCAAGAAACACAAGTGCTATTCATTATCTGCCTCGCTCAGCGGGGCATTAGCCGTTTGGGAATCAGGCTGGTGGCACCAAGAAGCAAGGAAGGCACACTGTCAGGCTACCGGGCAGGGACTATGAAGGGCACTCAGCTCACCCGAAGGGGGCAGCACCTACAGCTACTGGTTAAAGACGGAATGAAGCTTCTGATTTTCAAGAGAACCCAGAAATCTAGATTTATTTTTAAATGTGAAAACTCCCTGTATTTAAATGCTTCCACTTCCAAAGATTTTACACACACACACACACACACACACACACACACACACACACACACAGCTTTTTTGATTCTCAACTGCATTCAAAATATCTATCCTTGCATCCACGGGTGCACATAGCTCTCACACTTCATTGAAGAAGCTTCTTTTTGAAATAGACAGAGGCCATCACAGAAATCCACAACTGGTCAAAATGCAGAGAACAGCTGGCTATGGGGTGCCCACCTCATGTTGATATATCTATTTACAGTTCCTACATTTAAAGCTTGGGGAACGTTGTGGAAGAAGAAGCAGAAAAGTCAGAGGATGAGGATGCGTGCTTTGAGACAGTGTTTTCGATATATGATAGGGAGCTGCCCCCATGAAATCTCAACAGTACGTTTGCTCAAACAGGACCTACACAATGATACCAGTTGACATCATGGATGGGGAAATCTCATAAGACCCTACCCCTGTCTGTTTCTCTTCCATTTCACCACCATATACTTCCTCATCATATTGATACCCAACCATTCAGCATCTTGTGGCTCCTGGCAGGCATGTGGATGCTTCAGGCAGCCTGAACTGTGAGGAGTGGGGGCTGTGGTGGTGGGGAGGTGTCTTTTGCTGGCTTGTCACTCAAGGCACCAGGTAGGTCTAGCAATTAATGGCTTTTAAGAGAAAAAAATCAATCTTCTCCAGGACAAACTATCTGGTTTCAAGAGGTTAACCACTAAACATATATNTATGAACACTGGACTTGGCACATTGTATAAATGGAGAATGCATGTTCCTTTCCTGGCCACCCAGACCTGAATAATCACACAGAAACTATATTAATAACATCACTGTTTGGCCAATAGCTTAGCCTATTATTACTAGCTAGCTCTTACATCTTAAATTAACCCATTTCTATTCATCTGTGTATCACCACGAGGGTGTGGCCTACTGGTAAGGTTCCTGACATCTGTCTCCTTTGGCAGCTATATGACATCTCTCTGACTCTGCCTTCTTTCTCCCTGCATTCAGTTTAGTTTTCCTGCCTATCACCTAGCTCTATTCTGCCCTGCTATAGGTCAAAGCAGCTTCTTTGTTAACCAATGGTAATAAAACATAGTCACAGCATACAAAGAGGAATTCCACATCAACGCTGTATTTATTATATATACATGTGTGGCATATATGTGTGGATATGTGTGGATGAAAATAATACTTAAAGAAGAGGTCATGAAATTGAGAGGGAATTGGAGGGACACAGAAGGAGTTAGGAGGGGGAGAAGGGAGGGTAGAAATGATGTAAATACAGTACTTCTGCAGAAATTCTCAAAACAAAATGGTATGTACAGGAGCTAATGAAGCCCTGAGCAAATAACATGGGCACAGTGGTCTCAGTGACTACTGGGTGGCAAAGCCTTGCATGGTTTCCTCCCCACCCCATAGCCCCCATGCTTACTGTTCCCCTACAGAGACTGCTCCTACCAAGATTAGCTAAACTTGCCTCTTTGTTGAACCGTATATGGTAACCCTGCCTCTTTATCTGTATGCAATAACCCCACCTCCTTGTTCAGCCGAATGCAATGACCTCGTCTCCCTGCATATAATAAATATGCTGCGTTTCCAGGGTGCTACATTTTCTCCGTCCAAGAGCCTAGACCCCCCGATCCCAGTTTTTCTGTGTCTATGAGTCTGTCTTTCTTCCTAGTTATATATATATTCCAGGAGCCAATGCTTGGCGATGCGGGCACAAGGTTTTTTGAAAAGTTAAAACAACGCTTGAATTACAAAGTGCCATTCTGTTCCCTCCGTGTGAGTCCTTAGAGCCATGCTGTGCATCCATCCTGTTCATGTTTCCAAACTGTCATTACCGAGTATGCATCCAAACACAGCCCACATTCTGTGTTGTAGGCTGTAATGCTATAGAAGTAGCATGCTGCAGTTACTTTATGCTTCGTTTGTTATTTTAAATTAAAATTTTTAAAAGATACGCTATTATGTTTTAACCTACTTCACTATTTTTTTGGTTTAGTTTTTGGGTTTAATTTTTTTTTTTTTTTTGAGATAGGGTTTCTCTGTATTGCCTTGACTATCTTGAACTCATTCTGGAGACCAGGCTGGCCTCAAACCCAGAGATCCACCTGCCTCTGCCTCACAAGTGCTGGGATTAGAGATGTGTGCCACCACCACCTGGCCCATACATTTTAACTATATGATATTCTGTCAGTTAAATGTATCAAAATTTAATTTACCTATTCTTCTTTTGATAAAAATTGAAGGGTTTTTTTTTCTAATTTCAAGGTACTACATATCTTCAACAATAAAAATCCCCCCTTCAGGATGAGGCAGCGCATATGTGTAATCTCATCATTAAAAGGCTGAAGCAGAAAGACAGAATAAAGCCAGCCTGAGCTACACTGAGAGACCCTGTCCTGAAAGGAAAAAAGAGAGAGTTTCTCTAGAAAAAGAATTGCCAGGAAGTAGCAAATACAGCTTTATCCTTCCTACATTTTGACAAGCTGCATTCCAAAGTGATTGTTCAATTGACCCATGTGCCAACAGATCGATTCACCAGAGAGTGCCTTGATTTTGCTTGTACAGTCCATGATTGTTAAGATCTGGACAGATCTGAACATATAATGTACACACAACTGAAACTGTGCACCTTTAAG